CCCACAAAGGCAGCGGTCACCAATGTACCAAGGACTCTCAGACATGACTGGGTGCGGTCAACACCAGTCCTGATTTCGTCGGCGGCCACTGCCACCTCAGAGGACAACTCGGGGTTCTGCATACAATAGATCCCTCATTCTGGTGATTTCTGTCTTCTCCTCGACACGGGATTAAGCCTGATGATTGTAGCGTTCTGATCACACTCTCATCACTTGGCCGCTACGATGAGATAGGCAGTATGCTATTACCGACAAAGACAAGGGAGACGTGAATGGCCATTTCTGGTTTATAAGCCGTCGTCAGCCAGTCATGCCCAACCCCGAAGTGTGGAGCACATGGGGCTCGAACTCGCGACCTGTTGGCTTAGAAGTCCAACGCCTCTAACCACTGGGCCAGGAGCCCGTTGCCCTGTCGGTTTCGATCGGGAATATACAATGGTAGGGGGCGCTCACCGATCGTTCTCACGGAACTCACTCGTTCCGTTGTGCCTTACGGGCTCTCTCTCGAGCCCAACCAGCAGCCGCACAGCGGCGCATGATATAGGCAGAATGCTATTACCGACAAAGACAAGGGAGACTGGAATGGCCATTTCTGGCTTGTTAGCCGTCGTCAGCCAGTCATACCCAACCCCGAAGTGCGGAACACCCGAGGCTCAAACAATGGTAGGGGGCGTTCACCGATGAGATGGCGTTTACCGATCGGATTAAGGGACGTGTTCGCCCCGTTCCGTGAGCTCTCGCACAGTCAGATTGGGACCATTAAATATGCGGAAAGGAGCATCGAGAGGGACATAGTCTGAAATTTCGCTTGTTGAGATGTAGTATCAGCTGACTTCTAGATGCCTTTGTCAGTTTTGGGCCAATACGACTTAACGCCGTGAAAGAGCAAACTTTTCAGTATTTAGTTTATTTGAGGAAAATAGGCTTAAGCCTTTGAACTCCCTATTTATACGTAAAAATCTGAAAAATTAACAACAATATGAAGAAATTCTAGCAGCAAGTGGATGCAGGTATCGATTCGCATAGGACACTGGTTTTTTATGGCTACAAAGTCACATAGTCCACTTGTTGGTGTAACATACAGTAGGTGGGCCAACTCATGAAATATCAACCAAAATTCCGAAATGCGTTTTGGTTGCGAAAAGATTAATTAAGTAGGGTTGTAAAACTAGTCATCCTGCAGCCTAATTCTATAATAATTCAGTTACCGCAGGGTGCCGGCTTTCGATTGAATTTCCCATCGGCTGCATGAATAAACTGCACTCTGGAAAAAAGGACTACTTATTTAGCATGCACTTTTCTCAATATTTTTTTTGATGCCCTTTAAAATTCAATTATATTTTATGTAAGACATGCAAAAATATATACATTAATTCGCTCATTCGGTAGACAATGACGTCTTCTATCAACATTATTCTCGAAGGAAGGGTATAATTCGGTTTTCAAATACTTTTCCAATTCCCGAATAATTTTGAACTCGGTCTTCCGTTACACTTGGATTCAGGGTTTCTAAACTACGAGCCGTATATTTTCCGCGTACGGAAAACCACACATTCCTCTACGGTAATAAAGGGGAACATCATAGGTTTCATAAAATTAACCAGTGGATTTGAGTCATATTGTTAACTTTACAAGAAAAATTGGTAAATGCAGAGATATGGCGATTTATGAACGGCCATTTAAGGGTATTTAAACTCCCACAATTGGAAACTTTAAAATCGAATTACGTCCCTCCTTCAAATATAAAAATAGACGAAGACGTAATTTTCTATCGAATAAGCAAAAGAAGGAATATTTCTATGCATGTTTTCCTTGAAATATAATTGGACTTTTAGAGGCATCGAAAATCAATGAGACAAATCCATGCTATATATGTTATCATTTTTTACAGAGTGTAGTTTTTGCATGCGGCCGGGAGGAAGTTCTTTCGAAAGCCAGCATCCTGAGGTAACTGAAATATTATGGAATTATGTTGCAGACTGACTAGTTTTACAACTCTACTTAATTAATCTTTTCGAAACAAAAACGCATTTTGGAATTCCGGTTGGCATTTCATGAGTTGGCTCACCTACTGTAAGTGGTCAGTTATTCCGAGTGTGGTTTCTACTGGAGGTCGAAAAGAAGTGCATTCAAAAGCCGACATTTTGACGAATCCGAAATACTATATGATTATGTCGCACGGTAATCAAGCTTACAACTCCAACTAAGTGTTTCTTCCTAATTAAAAACGCATTTCAGGATTTAAGCCAAAATGTCATAATATCTGTCGCGCACTATATGTCGGACTTTTGGTATATTTAGTCACATCCCCTGACACTGGTGCACGATTTCAATTTCAGGCTACTTGCGTGGCGAATCACGTACATGCTAAACACTGTTCTCGTAAAAAGAGTAATTGTCGTTTCGCCAATTCATGCATTAGACAAAACCTTTGTTTACGCTCGCCCACGCGGGTTTCAGTCCATACACGGTGTTCATTTTTCCCGCCAAAATCCTCCGCATATTTCATTTTCGTGCAATGTCAACATATATACTCCTGACGTTGTGCAGATTGAGGACAACATAGCAAACGGCGCTGATGTTAGACCACGCAGAAACGCGTGCTAGCAGTTCCAAATATGCTCTTTTAAAATGGTAATCATCATTCTGTCAAGGACAAACTTCGAAATATGCAAACTTCATCACAAAATAAGATCAGAGGCAAATTCTGAGGTCGCGTTCCCGAGAAACATGACTGGATTTAAACAAATATTGTTAGGCCGGTGAGGAGATGGACGCTGATATAGTGATGATGTTTCGTGAGCGTGGATAATTTCGGTGGACTAGAAGATGTTCGACCACAAGTCAGAATCCCACCACGTGCCGACAGCTCGGCCGCCGCCATTGACGATCTCCATCTAGCGATCGATGGCCGGAAGTGCTAACTTTCGAATTAACTAATTCGGAGTATCTACCGCATTCCCTATTTCCTCATCTAACATCCTAAGATGTCAAAACATTGCAAAAACGACCGGAGGTGGGCCTGAGAGTGATGGCTAACAAGGCTAACCAGACTATCTACACGTGCCACACACCCACACCCAGGTTCCGCTTCAGACTTCATTGAGGACACCTAAGAGTGCCATCGGGGTCACGCTAAGAAGGAGCAATTGCAGTATGACTTTCCGCCCCCAGGTCACTCAAAAAATACTCATTAGGTGGACCAGGACATGCCGTCAGTTGGCAGTCTTCCAAGCCGTAGCCCTTAGCGAATAGTAGTAGGTTTAAACCCATCCGTTTTGCTCTGGTGAGGAATGTGACGATATGTCGTGCGGCTGGATTCCTCACCGTCTACCGGCCGACTCTCCGAGTCCCTCCGTGAACTGAAGACGAGACCGGATGTGGTAACTGGTGCGCAGTGAAAGCCTACGTCTACGGCGTGCCGAAGGTAAATGCGACAGTTGCTGGGAGTTTATAAGAACTCAGAGCCACCAGACAAACGCTTGCTGTGATTGATTATGCTTTCGTTTGGTTCAGCGCATCTCCAGTGGAGCTTGTTGTTGGGTCATTTGCCAAGTAAACGGAGCTATACTTCCCCCAACGCAGGCCGCGCGATAGATGCACTTGACCAACACGGTGGAAACACTGGATTCTGGCAGACGTCATCGGGAATGCACACCTATAAAAGTGTCAACATCCGGGGTGCGGTGGCAGCCCCAGTTACAAGCTGATGCCGCGCCAACTAGAACTCCTGCCGTTGTTAGTTGGAATCCTGGCCAAGTGTCTGTTGCGGATCAGGGGGTGTGTTGGTACGCCTGGGTGAGGGTCCGGGCGTGCCAGCCACCTGCGCCCTTTCCCGCCCCGGTCTTTTCGACTATGTTTTGACACTGGGCTCAGCTGGGGAGGAGGACAGAGTGCGGTAGATGCTGCGCAAGTCCACTATCCCTTTAAACTAAATCCCGCGCAGGTCACCGTGGCTACTCTCACCTTACCGTGAAGGACACGGTGGACATCGTCAGTTATGACGATGGAACTGTCAGTTGGAGATATTGTGCCTTTCGAATCACTAGAGTTATGCCTCATACTTGAAGGTTTAGTAAGGAAATGCAATCCATGTGACCTAGGTTTCAGTGTATCATGTGGATTGGCCATTTACGTGATACCAGAGTTCTCGCCAGAGCCCATGCAGTGCCTCACAAGAAGGAGATTGGGTACCTGAGAGGCTTCATAGAAGAGGGCTTTGTCCCTGCAGCTTGGCCCCTGTCCTATGTGGCTAGGGATAGTAAAACGGGGCTTGGTGAAGGTTGATTGTGAGCTAGTAAAGTTAACGAAGGACGAATGGGTCGAAGTCTGGCAGGCTGATTGTCGCATAAAATGCCCAAGGCTGAATGATGACAGTATGACACTGCCAGGATGAACCGCAGGAAAGTATTTCTGCTATCGCCAGCTGTCTTTTTTTGAAACAAAGTGCTAGCGGAGACACCCTCAGTCAAGCAATCCGAGCGGCTGTTGGGGATGCACTTTTACTCGTGTTTCTCAAGAAACCTCAAGAAAAAGTCTGATTCAAGTATTGCGGTCAATGCAACGACGTCTACGGAACTTGATGCGCTCTGCAATCGACAGACCGGGTACTCATCACTGGTGTGCGTCACAGCGCCTTGAGCCAAAGCACGTCTGATTCGGCCCTGAAGATGATTGGCCAGCCGGGAAGGTGTGATCGGACGAGAACCAGGCTGCCGCTTACGTGCACACGCACGTGTAGGAGTCGAAGGGTCGCAACAGGCACCCGGAGTAGGGCCAATGCAAGTGCATTTGCCAAATCTGGAAGTGGCCATCCCGAGAAACACAACAGCGTAACCAAATTATTAGCCAGAGCAGCGGTAGGCCGTCTGCCATGTGATTGGCCAAAGTCCCGCGCTGATGGGAGCAATTCAGGCACCTTTCTAACTTCGATGACCGAACCATCAATATCACGCTCGTCTCCGCAGCACAGTTTAATTACCCCTCAGCCTACGCAGTGCCATGTGTCTCCCCTCCCCCCCTCATGAGGTAGACCTCGTGGATGAAATACGGACACTGAACGACAAAAGGACGCCCAGTGGGACGGTATGCCCACTTAAATCTACATGTCTCTTGTTGGCACTGTGCTGCCGCAGTTCTATGAATTGAATAAGCAAACCTGACGAGACGGGCTCGTTCCTGATGACTGGGGCCGGGGCACCCTTGTGCGAGATCTACCGCTACATAAGTCCCCCGTAATGAACTCCAAACTCCTCGCCCTTGCCACTTAAAGACGACATCAGAGTAGGCGTGTCTCTATGGCAGCCCACTTTTCCGCTAGGGGTGGGTGTACTGACAAAATACCCTGCTTCACAGTCTTGAATGCCGCCATGGCAATCAGCAACAGACAGTCATCCGAATTGTTGACTTCGCATTCGATACGGTCTATGGCGTCTCTGTGGCAGATACTGGAACTAGACGACATGCTAGCAAAAAAACATCTCCAATATCAGGGCATGCTCTGTATTTACCAGTGTTCGTGTTCTGGCCAATAAAATCATTCCCAAGTTGTCTGACATTCGATTTGGCCTTCAACTAGGTTGCATCCGGTTGCCTATTCGTTAAATTGGGGAACGGACTGGATTCGCAGAAGGGGCCCCACACGATTTGGACGGTGCAGAGTATGCATCCGGACTCCGGCTGATTTATGTCAACTGCGCTGGCGATATCACCTCCCCCCTGATCTCAAGATCTTGTGGTGTACGATCGTTGGTGTCACGGGAGAATGAGGTCGCCAAATCAGTCGATTTATTCAAAGAAGGTTGTAGTGACATTTACGTTCGTTTTGTTTTAATCTATATATATAAAAATGGAAGGGTTTTTTTTCTGTGTTATATCTAATCTCCGAAAGTACTGTACCGATTGCGCTGAAATTTGGACACAACCCGACCCGCGCATAGGGCCGGGTTTTTGGCTGGTCAGTTGTGTAATTATGCCGATGGTATGCCTGTGATGAGTAAAAAACTGGATTTTTTCCGGCATAACAACGCCACCAGCTGCGGCCACTTGACCTATATCGCGCGCGGACACATGTGCGCCCAGACTGTGGCCACTTGACCGCCATTCTCTCAAACGCACGTGCCCCGTCCGACAGCCGCGCTCACCCCACCATCCACCCTGCAGGCAGTTGAGCAGGCCCTCCACCCTCTCTGGGCCGATGCAATATGGGCCGCCAGAGCAAACCACTCACCCTGCAGCAAAAAAGCACGCAACACTTGGACGCCACTTAAAATTGTCCCACAGTCGACATAATAGTGCCGTCACCGCTGCCTTGGGGATTTTCGGGGGGTGAGGAGTGGATGCAGTTAACACCAGCGCCTGCTTGTCCCCCCCGCACAACCCACATAAGGGACCTTTCACCCAGTGTCAGCCCAGTGTCGTACAACCCGGCTTGCGGAAGCCCGCTTGCGGTCACGGCTACCGCGTTCTGCAGCTTCAGGTCTACTCTGTTCATAAAAGAGTGAACACAGCCAGCTGGGAGTGGCTGAAAGACACCAGCGAGGAACAGCGGACATGCGTCCAACACGTCTCCGTGCTCAGCATTCACGCTGCGCTCTGAAGAACCCTCATTTGCGTGATGCTGTTGTGAACGTCGGTGCGACAACAACCGTTGGACGGCTAAGGATTTTGCCATCCAGCATATGCCGGCAGTCGGAGACCGATTTCAACGCAGCATCCATTTACTTTTCGAGATCGTGCCGGTGGATATCACTACAAAGTTGGATGATAAATCCAGTCAGTGGCGAGGTAACGCACATGAAATGCAGCGCAATGAACTACTACTCCTACCGACTTATGCTTCGACAGAGTGTACGTAATTCCCCTTTGAAATGCCGTCAATTGTTTTACCACTGCATTGTGGATATGTATGCAAAAAGCGAAACAGAATGCCGGCTTTTCATTCGCTTGAATCAGACCAAGCCATTCCAGTCTCCCTTGTCTTTGTCGGTAATATCATTCTGCCTATATTCATTTGCATGATGCAGTTGTAAACGACGATAATAAAACTAATGTTGTAACACTAACGACTTTGTCATCCACATACACAGACAGATCACGTCATATGCTCAAGTACGCTCGAGGTGCAATTGCTTACTTTTGTCAGTACGGGAGTCCAGACCTGCTCATTACATTCACATGCAATCCAGCTTGGGGGGATATTTATCAGCCTTAACTTCCTGGGCTATCGCCGGTGAATAGGTATGACATCACAGAACGTATTTTCAGAAAGAAACTGTAATCGCGGATGAACTTCATGGTGAAACACGTGGTGGTTGGGTCTGTACGCCGCTGGATGTATTAGCAGGAACGGCAAAAAGGGGGCTGACCCATGCACATGTATTGATCTGGCTCTATAACAAGATCACTTCCAACGAAATCGCCGTTGAAATATGCGCTGAACTACCTGACGCCGACGTGGACAACGATTTGCATGAAGGTGTGGCGAAGAATAGGATACATGGACCTTGAGGTGCACTGAATCCCAATTCTCCCCCCTCCCCACCCCCGGCATGACAGACGGAAAATGCTCTCGGAGATATCCTCGGGCATTCGCATGCAACGAAGTTACCGGTAACGACGGAAGACGTCGGCAAGTTGGCCACCGTAGGAATGCGAATCGATGACATAGAGTCCGGCAACCACTGGGTTGTTTCGTATTCGCCTTTGCCTTTAGAAGCAAACGCAGCTGACATAAACGTGAAAACCTCCAATTTTGGGAAATTAATTAGGTACATTTGTAAGTATGTGAATAAAGGCAGCGACATTGCCGTTTTCGGCCTCGCACACGAAAGGAGAGAAAGGGATGCGGACATACAACTTGATGAAATCGCACAGTATTGAGCTGGAAGATGCGTCAACAGCAACAAAGCCGTGTGGCGGATTCTTTCATTCCCCATCCATGAGCGAAGTTTGGGTGTTGTTCACTTGCAGTACAGTTAGAGAATGGGCAATGCGTTTACTTTACCGATGCAAATATGCAACAGGTTGCCTTAGATCCACTGGCAACAACATTAACTGCGTTCCCCACGTTAAGCCAAACTGACGCGTTTGCGAAAACACTGCCGTATTCGGAAGTGCCTACGTACTATACAGGAGATGTGTGTAGAAATTCATCCAAACGACGCAAACGAGGAGAGCGAGTGGACGGACACCCCGTAATACTCAAGGAACTTCGATTGGCAGACCGCACACCGTGCATCCCAATCTTACTTCGCATACTGTTGGTGAATGTGCCCGGTTCAACGACTTTCCAGCAATTGAAATCTGCCAACGGCGTTACGCAAGGCACTTTTGGCAGTGCGTGTCAGGCTCTTCAGTTACTGGAGAACGATCAACAGTGGGACGTATGTATTAATGACGCCTTCAACACGTCCCACCCAGACCAAATTCATGGAGTTTGCAGTCATATTGACCGCATTCTCTCCTCATCTCCAACAGCTTTACGGGAGAAATATAAATCGCACATGGCTAGAGATATCTTCCGTCAACTATGCAAGGAAAATTTAAATGTGGCTTGCACAGCAGGAATCTACAGCGAGGAGTTAATATTGATTGAGGATATGTACGCAGAAATCGTGAACAAAGTTCTTAATCAACTGGGAATGTCACCGCAAACCCAATCTGCTGCTGCTTCGTTAGATGTGGATTGGTGCCATGAGCAAAAATAAAACACGGCTCAACTTCTGCCATGCTTGCAATCAAACATTCCTAAGCTTAGACAGGAGCAGTGGCATTTACAACCAAATACTGAGCCACAGCAACGCGTGGCGGGGTCCAGCTAGTCAGTTATAAGACTCTTGTAAAATACCTTGGCACAACATTGAATAAGACAAAGAACTAGCACGTGCATTTTTACCTGGTGACGACTTTGTTCTTATTCACTAGTTTGTAACTGGTGGGATACTTCTATCTTCGTTTCCCGGATAGCCCACTTTATCACTTACAAGGTGTTGAGGACTAAACTGATTTCGAGCCAAATACTTGATCAGGAGAAGACAATCATCAGGATTAGATGCTGTCAACTTGAAGAAATACGTAGTTTAAAAAGCCTCAATTAGAGGCTGCTGCCGAATAAGCAGAGTAGGGATGACATCCTCTTCCGAGTCGTTGCTGCTCTCAGGGTTTTCACAGTTTTCCAAGGCCGCCACTATCTCCGACGTGGCATGTCATTGGTCACAAAGATCCGCGCCCACCACGGGTCCGTCAGGTCAGCACCTCGATACAGCTGTGAAAGCTGGGCTGTGAGCGTGGAAGACAAGCAAGAAATTGATGAGCTTGACGGCCACGGAAAGGTAATGTAATTATCAAAAGGAAGAGAATATGCGCATCCCAGGTTCTTGTTTAGAAGAAGACGAAGGCACGATCACTGGGACGGTGGATAGCAACAACGTGGCACTCCCTACCGTACACAAGGAATGTGTCCGAGGCCACAGAACGTACTGCGTCAGAGTTAGACGTGCGCATCGCTCATAATCCGGCGGCTACCATGCGTAGCAGGATCATGAAAATAATCGATCCGCTGGACTCAGGTGAGCAGTCAGGCGAAGTCTATCAAAACCCGTGCCATAAATGCCCTTGCCACTACACAGGCCAAACAGGAGGACGTCTCAGTTCACGAATACTTGAGCACAAACGAGCCGTTCGGAGAGGCGACCCACTATCTCAAGTTGCCACTCACACGCCGGAGAAAGGCCGTGAGTTTGACTTCGCCAACACGCGGTTATTGGCGCGAGCCGGCAACCAGACGGGGCGAGAACTGTTGGAGACGTGGGTGTCGGACACCAACTCTATCAATAGACACATTGATTTGCCTGCGTGTTATCATGCACTCCGCCCACGCAGCCAGGTGGCGCAGTTCACATCGCCGCGAAGTACAAACGCCGTCACCACGCAGGGAGACCATGGTGGGCCAGGCAGCACAAGCCAGACCTAGGCACGGACGTAGTCCCCCCCGCAAGGAACAACGATATAACTGTTCACACGTTGCTGCACTCTAGCAGTCTCTAATGATGAACTCCAGTTCGAGTTCGAAAGAAAAGACCAATAAATATACCGTCCCATTGATCGCACCTTCTTCTTCTTCTTCTTCTTCTTCTCCTTCTTCTTCTTCTTCTTCTTCTTCTTCTTCTTCTTCTTCTTCTTCTTCTTCTTCTTCTTCTTCTTCTTCTTCTTCTTCTTCTTCTTCTTCTTCTTCTTCTTCTTCTTCTAGGTAATGCAATTCGCCAGCATGCCGGTAAATATCTTCACGATGGTCAGGGCTCTAGTTCTGATCCGTAACTGCCCCTCACAACCATATGATGTTTCCTTTGGTATTCGACGTGGTTTCACTCTGCAATCAATTCTGTTAAATTACCCCGACGACTGACTTCACGAAGCGGCCGAATTTGCATCGACACACGGACTGACTGACCTCGACTGCACCAACGATATCGCTCCCCGCTAGCACCAAACTATGATGACCCACGGAATGTTGTTTTCCGAATGAACGAGGCCAAAACAACAGTCAGTCCAATAACAAAAACGAGCTTTTGTGAATGACTGTGGAAACAGAAGACCAAAAATCGTGGTTTAAATAACCATAATGATAGTCTGGGTGGAGGTCGACAAGTACGGGGCAGCCACGACTTTCAACAGTGATTGGAGAAATAAGATGTAGTGTAATCGATTGCGGACAACAGATGCCCAGGGATTCCAACCCTCCTAGAAAACGTTTATGCTATACCAAGATCAAAAGCCATTGTTAATTGCCCAAATAAATGACAATTTTCGCGGAATCGACCAAAACAAAAGCCGTGCTGGACAGAGCTGGGAAGCCGGTTATTTAGACAAGCGACAGGCAACTTATTGCTCCTTAAACTTCTGGCTAGGAATTATGATCTGCACACGTCCTAAACGTTTTTAATGTCAGATCTCAGCACGGAAGGTCTTCACCCCTAGCAACATTTTGAGACCTTAAGACGACATCGGCGTCGACTCTAAGTGATGGCTGGAATAACATCTAGGCTTGGGTTGTATGACTGCTAAAAACGACGATATCCATCCCAATACCCAGGTCCGGAAATCCGCAAGCCCAAGTTCCATTTAGGCCTTTACGCAGACACATGCTATCAGCGATCGGCTTATCATCTACTGGCGAGGTTCCGTATGCATGACAGTGTGTAGGGTGCAGAGTTTTCTCTGACTTCCCACCGAACGAAAGAACAGCCTCGCGGTGTGGCAGTTCGCGTCTCCTCGCCCTCCGCCTTTGTCACGCTGCCGTCCTGTCCGCCTCACACTCCGTGTCGATACGCTACTGGGACGCGTGAGTGCTCGAAGCCAATCAACGCTGTCCCCACTCTGATTGGCTGGCGGACGTGGAGACAACAAAGGGCGCACACGCGCTCACAACACTCTGAGGGCGGACACAGACAACAGCTTGCTTGGAGCGCGCTCGCGGCAACTGCCTACAGAGCCCTTGTGTATGCACTTTCTCTGGCAGTGAAATGTTGTCAAACTCAAACCGTCTTCCCTGACTTTTGATTGGGAATCTTTATCTTTTCGACACCACACAACTTTCGACAGCGGCATTTATCGGAGAGTTTTGATAAAGTCGCCTTCCTCAATAGACCAGATTCCTCCGAAAATATGTTCTAACACGAATGAAACCAGGCTACTGTTTTGAAGATTTAGATCAGCGAACAGTCTGCGCAGGTCGTAGTAAAACTCGAGGAGGGGAAAGTTTGAGACGGAGTGATAACTGAGTCCAAAACATTGCCGTACACCTAGGATTATCCGGAACGAAGCGCGAAACCAGTGCGAATGTAAGACTTAAAGTGTCTGCCCGTAAGCCTTGATAATAGACAAACATTAACCAGGGAGAAAGGAGCTCTTTTTTACATTAAAAAGTGCGTTGTCGGCTTCGAGATAAGCCATCATGCTAGAGACATCCCGTGAGTCCAGGGGAGGAGTAGAGAAAAAAGTCTGCCACCTTAAACGAATGGCAGTATGCGTCGGCGGTACATGTGAAGTCACTGTTCAGTGGCGGAGTTTAGTCCCCTGTCGAAATAGGATGGTAGACAATCCAAAGGTTCCTTGATCGGAAAGGGCGAGGGGGAGGGGCAGTTAGATGTGACCGAGAGTGTACACGCAGCGCCACATGGCATCTCACCACGCAAATGTCGGCCGAACTGCACGCACCCGAACTTCACCCGACTGCAGCCAATCGATGAAGTCACGAATATCGATCAGTGTAACGGCGTCGCAAGCCGGAGGTTGAGTCACGCAGGCTAGACGGACCGAAGACCACATGCATTGTCGGCGGCGCTGACGACCGTTAGAGCGGGCAGCTGCACCCGCATCAGTCGACGCACAGGGGCAAGTGACCCCCCTTCCCAGGCAGAACTCGTGTGTGTAATACGGAGAGAAGTCGCCCGGAGCAGACGGTATTCCGACTGAAATCTACAAGCTTCGTATTCGCACTTTGGTGATTGAGCTAACCTAAGGAGACCCTCCTTGCTGCCGACTGGGCTATTGCCGAAGTCACTAAAATGGCTGCAGATCCAAGCACCCAGGTTGCAAAATCGGCATGTCAAGTTGTCATTAAAGACTGTGGGCAGATGCACGCGCTATCAGCAATTACCGTGTCCGCTACAATCGAGCTGTCTTATTCATTTCGAGTTATGAGACGCTGATTATTTCTCTCCTTGTCGGCCTCCCTCCAGACTATCATTATTGTTCTTTAAACCACGATTTTTGGTCTTCTGTTTCCATAGTCATTAACAAACGCTCGTTTTTGTTATTGGACTGACTGTTGTTTTGACCTCGTTTATTCGGAAAACTACATTCCGTGGGTCATCGTAGTTTGGTGCTAGCGGGGGGGGGTGGGCGATATCGTTGGTGCAGTCGAGGTCAGTCAGTCCGTGTGCCGATGCAAATTCGGCCGTTTTGTGATGTCAGTCATCGGGGTAATGAAACAGAATTGAGTGCTGAGTGAAACCATGATGAACACCGGAGGAAATATCATATAGTTGTGAAAGAATAACTTCGCCAGATTCAAATACGTTTTTTTAAAAAAAGGATATGCTTCTTCCACAAATTGTCTTCACTGGGATGAATGTCCAGCTAGCTCGAGGATTTGGTTTATTACGGATAAAAAAGGCCACCATTCTGAAGTTTAACAAAGCCGAACAGTCTGCACAGGTCTCAGTGAAGTAGATAAAAAAATTGGGCAACGGAAAAATAAGTGAGTTCTAAACATTGTCCGGCGGCTAAGGTAACCTCTGCACGAATTGGCAAACCAGCACAATTGCAGATCTTCAGGTGCGTGCCCGCGGGCCTCGCCGATAGACAAACCAAACTTTGGGCATGAGGCGGTACTCTTTTGTACAAAAAGTACCCTCTCATTTTCGAGATCAGTCGTCATGGTAGCGTCAACGCGTGAATGCCGGGGGAAGAGGCAGAGGAGAGGACGCACGACCTCCAGGAATCGCACTGCCGAGCGGCAGCACGTACAGTGCGTGACCTATCTCATGAAATGTTGGCTGAAATTCTGAAATGCGTTTTCAATTAGGAAGGATTACTTGGTCGCGGTTGTGATACTGATTACCTTAAGGTATACTCTTATAACATTTCGGACTTGGCAGGATGTCGGCTTTTAAATGCACTTCTTTTCAATCTCCTGTAGAAAGCGTACTCGGTAAAAAATGACTATTTAGGTGGCATGCATTTTTCCCATTGTTTTTCGATGGTCTTGCAAATTCAAATATATTTTAAAGAAACCATAAATAAAATATGCTTCCTTTTAGTCAATCAATAGAGAATCACCTCTTCTTTGTATTTCATACTCAAGGAAGAATTATAATTAGGTTTTAAAAAAGTTTTCCAATTGCCGAATAATTTGGAGCCTGATCATTCGTTGCATCAGCGCTTAGTAATTTCAGTCTGCAAGGTGCATGCGTTCCGCTTAAAGCATATCACATATTTTTCTATTCCATTAAAGAGATATCATACGGAGTCCATAAAATTGTGCAATGGATGCGGAACTTGTTGTACATTTCACGAGGAGCAGGGGTAAACGGCCAGGCACGATGCTATGTGAATGTACATATCGCGGTCTTAAAAAGTCTCACAATAAGAAACTTTTTAAAAACCTAATTATACTCCTTTCTTAAGTATAAAATATAAAGAAGGCGTGATTCTTTATTGATTGATTAGAAGAAAGCATATTTTTGTTTATGGTTTCTATAAAATATATTTGAATTTCCAGGACCATCGAAAAACAATGGGAAAAATGCATGCTACTTAAGTAGTCATTTTTTAACGAGCACGCTTTCTACAGGAGATTGAAAAGAAGTGCCTTTAAAAGCCGACATCCTGCCGAGTCCAAAATGTTATAAGAGTATGCCTTGAGATAATCAGTATCACAACCGCGACCAAGTAATCCTTCCTAATCAGCCAACATTTCATAAGATAGGTCACGCACTGTACAGCGTGACAGCCCCGCCCACGCAAGCGACAAGCTTTACGGCACGCCTCGCTGAGTGCTCGCGGCACTGTGGAATTGTGCGTGAATTAGTTTGAAGCGAAGATGACTTGCGAGGCACTTTTCTCGCCTCCCCCCCCCCCCTCTGTCTCTCATCCATCTTGCACCGGTAGCAAGATCACATCCAGACTGACAAGGCTATGCCGAGTGCAGTCAGTTAGTCGAGCCTCGACGGAGCCGTGTTTGTGATCTGGAGAGAAAGACGGCAGTAGATCATCCGTTTCCTTGTCTATCTCACATTGACCATCGAAGCCTCTCTGGATGGCTGTTTATTGTCGATCATCCAAAGGGGGCTGTGAGTATTCTGCATAATAGCACCGGCCAAGGTTAAGTTATTTGCAGCGCACATTCGTCAGCCAATCTCCCGACCGCAGTAGTAACTGAAAAGATTGCAGATTAAGTTGAATTAACTCCAGCATGCTTGCTACGGAAAATTTCCTGCAAAGCACGCCAGCTTACAGAGGTGCGTTCCCTCACAACGTCCTTTCGACTCCTTTGTAGCGACCTGTGGTTATCGTTCTCCTGTAAATGACCCCAACAGAGGGGGGGGGAGCAGATACGTCGTCAATAGCGCAAAAATTTTCCGCACGAGGCAAAGTGCTTCGGCAAATTGCTTTTCCGGCTGAACAAAATCATGCTGGGCCGCAGGACATGTCAACACAAGGCTGATCACACCTATCTGGTGATTAACAGACCACCGGCCTACTGGACTGGCCTGTACGAGGACCTGAGTACTCGAGGTGTGACCTTGGATGTCACACCATGGCGCGCTGACGACTGAAGGTCAAAGTCCTGCGCGCGCTGTCACACCTAGAGACTAGTTCGGGGCATCAGACGAACGCGGACCCGAGTGCTGCGACCAGCGGACAAACCACTGGATTACCATCGCGTTGAACGTTGTCAGAGTCAACGCGACATCACGATCGACAGGCCGGGGCCTCAGATGACCTTCGGTCGGCATCCCTGGGTGCTGAGAGGAATTGGAAATACCTGTGCTCAATGGGACGCATTCTTGGACAGATTAACAACTGACCTTTTCCACAGGCGCGCTGCGTTCTGTGCTCAGATCGTCATATCGCAGTGTTCAGGTGTTAACCGGGGGCATAAAGGTCGTGGCGGAGGCTGACTGGACGGACGAATGAATCTTTATGCGTCCGTAAAGAATCATTCAATTCTTACAGTCAGTAAACATCTTTGTCACTGAACGCTCTTTGAATAAGTTGCTCTTTTGGCATAACAGCCATTAGTATCGTTCGTTAGGGTCGACAAGCTCTTACGTTACTCGGTCTAGTGCGTTCCTTCTTTTGTTACTCGGCCGACCTCTTTTGCATCGACTGTCCTCCTTTTCAATCCATGGGAATGATCCCACTTGACTTCCAGACTGATCGCTCAGTCTCCCTGTTTTCAATGAAGTTCACCCTCTACCCGACGGACCGATAAATCCGGTATCCGATTATCTAAAATACTTACATATCACCTCGTTGGCGGTGATTTATAATCACGGGTTTGTCCTCTCCCCTCAAATTTGCCACTCGATGGAAGATAGGATTTGATTATAAAAAAATTAAATCCCTCGAGCTCCTGGGAGCGTGAAATTTCTGTTCGTTTATTTATGCCCTTTATGAAGTCTACCACGTGGGTCATACGCATTGTGGATCTTCATCAACCTCCAAAAGGGAGTTTCCTATTTGGAATTTTATGTGTCGAAAAAGAAAAGTGCACATTTTACAAGTTGCATCACCTACGGGTTTGGTTTAAAATTACTCGACAATTTGAAAACCCTTTAAAAACTGAAAGCTTCATTTCCTTTCATCATGCCATGTGAAGGATGACCTCATTTTTGCACAGAATTAGTTCGGAATAAAATAAAAATGTGCTGACTTTCTGTAATATGAGTTTAGATTTATAAGTGTGGAAATGGTAATTAGTCAAATTTATACTGCTTGAGAAATCTTTTTTATGTTGTCTAGGGTCTGGAGATGATAAGCACCGTTTTGCCCTCTATATTCATCCGGCGGGTGACGCAACTCATGGAATACCAGCGGAAAATTGGAAACATGGATATATTACGTGGAAGGGATAGCTCTGTCGGTTATCATGCAGCATAATTCCATGGTAATTCCTCCTCACTTAGACGCTCGGCTGTTAAAAAGTGGGCACCTAAGAAGTGCGAATTTGTTTCACTGATTTCCGTATTCTACAGAAAGCATGAACAAAAATTCCTCTTTGTTAATATTGACCTAACAGCTAAAATCTCAGCGCCTCGGTGGGAATCGAGCCTGATTAAACTCTCGTCGTCAAGCGGGGCCTCGTAGCTCCTGTGGTTAGAACCTTGGCTGTACTAAAACCTTTCCCTTACTGCGTGGGTTCGAATCCCACCGAGGCGTCGAGTCTTTCACAGTTGGTTCAGTATGAATTATTCAAAATCTGCCTAAACATCTATGAATTCTTCTTTGTACTTGTGAGTTGCGAATTACACTTTCTCAAAATTTATAGTCGAATAAATGGCTGACTTTTGTCTACAAAGTTCCCGATTACGAGCGTTTTCATGACTATGAAATGTCTATCCAAAGTAAAACAGGTGGCCCCAACCCTAAACCAAACCTTAACCATAAACTAAACCCTGAAACAAATTATCACCTTCGTACTATTATTGATTTCAGTAGGTGGTCAACATTTTTATCATTTTCGCACGATTGTTAACGCAATTACGCGTAGATACTTTCCATTTGAGTTGCTTCGCGGGCTGCTGCGATTGTGATGCACC